AAAAAATAAAAAAAAAATAAACTGGGTCAGTAAATTTCAGCACCAGGAAGAGATAAGAGAAATGGCTGGAAGACAAAAGGGGATGAAGGGATGTCTCTGAAAATGCACAAAATCCTTTATGAAGTACTTATATCTTCAACCATTCCTGACCTGTCTTCTCAAATTGGAGGACTCCAAGGGAGGTGTCTGTGAGGTAGAAGAGAGAGTCTAGAATGGGGCCATGTAACTCCTTTTTTTCTGAAGTTATTAAATGGCAGTTGGCAACTCACTGGTGTATGCAGTTGTGGGTGGCCCACTTGGACACACAGAAGATGGTGCCTCATCCCTGGCATTTCACACAAGAAGACCCATACAAGAAGGTCCCACCATCCTGGGTAACGGTGGGCTGACCTGGGAGAGCCAGCTCAGCTGACCAAGGAGGGAGGATCCTGCTGGGGGTTGGAGTGGCTGAGGGTCTGAAAGCTTGACCACCTGCCTTTGAAGATCCACCCAGCCTAGGACCTTGGATAGACACACTGTCAGGGTCATTGCCTACACCAAGGACAGCATCACAGCCAAATCCTACCTGGGATCCCCACAAGTGCGCATCTACCACCAGACACCGAGGGACAGATCAGAGAAGCCCAGCCTGGCAGAGAAAGGAGAGGTCTTCCTTCACTTCCCACAAGGGGACTCTTGGAGCAGACACAAGGGACTTCAAGGATGAGGGGAAGGAGCACCAATGGACAAAACTCTCCTCTGCTTCCTGAGCCCAGGGCAGGGGCTCTGCACCAGACTACCATAGAAAATACCAACCTGAATGTGCCAGAAGTTTTCCTTGAAATGAAACTATTTTAAACTGGAAGTGGCTGGACACAGCTGATATTTATAAGGTTGGGCTAACTTCAGTTTTTCCACTGCCGAGCATGAGTAGGGGTTCTTTTTAGAGAAAAGGAAGTTAAGTTTAAAAATAAAGCAAACCTCTTGTTGGCACAAGGCAAAGTGGAGATTGTTCAATTAAAGCTGTTAAATGAGCAGGGAGACCTGAGGCATGTATCCGACTTCCTCTTGAATGTTAAGTTGGTCAAGTTCCCCATGTGCACACTGTCCTCTTCCAAGACCTTCCACAGTTATAAATGCAGGTTTAAAATAAACTGTCTAGAGGCTCTTGCCCCCTTGTAAGTACCATCCCTTCTTTGACTCTAGACCAACGGAACTTTCCTTGATGGTGGAAATGTCCTGTGTCTGCCCCGTCCAATACGGCACCCACTGACCACACGTGGCCACCAACCACTGGGGTACTGACTTTAAAACTGTATTTTAATTAATTTAAATGTAAACAACCATGTGTGGCTAATGCCACCACACTGGACAGTGCGGTGGAAGATGGAGTCAGACGTATTTCTTTCTACTGAACTTTCGGAAATTTGGGGCACGTCCTTGTTTATTCGCTGTCTCGAGCTTGGGTCAAGCTTTCTGACACTTCCACGCCACCCACCCATCCTTCCTGATGTGTCCTCAGAACCCAGTTGAGGAGAGCATGGGGAAACGCTTACATGGGGAAAATCTGAGCACAGACTGGATTCTGATAATATTAAGAAATTACTTAGGTCATTTCAAAGAGGGATTTGGGGACTGAAACCAAGAGCTCTTAACGCTGTGACCAATATTGAAGTTCTCCGTAGGATGTAATAATTACTCAATAGTGCCATGGTTTCCTGAGGAGATAGAAGATAAAAAAAGAGAGAAATTACTAAAATTGCATACTGGGATATTTACAGATAAAACAACGTGCTGTCTGCAATTTGCTTTAGATAATGGAGTGGGGACCGAACAGAGGAGACAAGATTGGTTGCTAATTGTTGAAGCTGCGTGATGGGTTCATGAGCTTGCCTTAGATTAGTCTCTCTATTTTACACATGTGTACTTTTTTTAATTAAAAAAATTAAGATGGGGATGGGATAATTGGATGATGGGCATGAAGGAGGGCGCTTGATGGAATGAGCACTGGGTGTTGTATGTAACTGATGAATCACTAAATTCTACCCCCAAAACTAATAATACACTCTATGTTAACTAACTTGAATTTAAATAAAATCTTTTTAAAAATTAAGAGTTTTAGGGCGCCTGGGTGGCTCAGATGGTTAAGCATCTGTCTTCGGCTCAGGTCATGATTCCAGGGTCCTGGGATCGAGGTCCACATCGGGCTCCTGGCTCAGCAGGGAGCCTGCTTCTCCTTCTCCCTCTGCCTCTCTCCCTGCTCATGCTCTCTCTCTCTGTATCTCTGTGTCTCAAATGAATAAATAAAATCTTTAAAATAAATAAATAAATAAATAAAGAGTTTTAAACAAAATGGGAAAAGGCTTGTATTATGATATCAAGTAGAAAGGGAAAAAGAGGGGTGCTTGGCTGGCTCAGTCATGGAGCACGTGACTCTTGATTTTGGGGTCATGAGTTCCGGCCCCACATTGGTCGTGGAGCCTACTAAAAAAAACAAATCAACCAACCAAAAAACTACTAAAAAAAAAAAAGAAGAAGGGGAAAAAGCAAGCCACAAGGGACACCTGGCTCAGTCGGTTAAGCATCTGCCTTTGGCTCAGGTCATGATTTCAGGGTCCTGGGATCGAGGCCCATGTCGGGCTCCTTGATCAGCAGGGAGCCTGCTTCTCCCTCTGCCCCTCCCCCTGCTCCCTCTCTCGCTTGCTCTCTCTCACTCTCAAATAAATAAATAAAATCTTTTTTTTAAAAGCCACAAAATGATAAGCATACAATAAAATGAGGAATTTACCTAAATGGGAGGAAATACGTAACATAATGTCGCCATTAGGATCCAGATGGCGGAGTTCAAATCCTGACTAGAACACCAACCTGGTTTCGGGAATTCTTTTAGTTTTGCTCAACCTCTGTCTCCTTTTTTTTTTTTTT